TGTGAAGCCATCTGGCCCTGGGCTTTTGTTTGCTGGAAGTTTTTTGATGACTGTTTCAATTTCTTCCCAAGTCACTGGTCTATTTAGATTTTTAGATTCTTCCTGATTGAGTTTTGGAAGGTTGTATTTTTCTAGGAATATGTCCATTTCCTCCAGGTTGTTCAGTTTATTGGAATAGAGCTGTTCGTAGTATTTTGTAACAATCATTTGTATTTCGGCGGGATCTGTTGTTATTTCACCTCTTTCGTTTCTGATTTTGTTTATTTGGGTCCTCTCTCTTTGTTTCTTGTTTAGCCTGGATAGGGGTCCATCTATCTTGTTTATTCTTTCAAAGAACCAGCTCTTGGTTTTGTTGATCTTACGTATTGTTTCTTTGGTCTCTATGTCGTTTATCTGTGCTCTGATTTTTGTTATTTCCTTCCTTCTGCTTACACTGGGCTTTTCTTGTTGCTCTTTTTCTAACTCTTTGAGTTGTAGAGTTAGATCATTTGTTACCCTTTTTTCTAGTTTTTTGCAATAGGCTTGTAAGGATATGAACTTCCCTCTCAAAACTGCTTTTGCTGTGTCCCATAGATTTTGGATAGTTGTGTTTTCATTGTCATTTGTTTCCAGGATGTTTTTAATTTCTTCCTTGATTTCTCTGGTAACCCAGTCCTTGTTTAATAGCATGCTGTTTAATCTCCATGTGTTTGATTTCTTTGGATCTTTTTCGTTGTAGTTAATTTCCAGTTTCATGCCACTATGATCTGAGAAGATGCTTGATATGATTTCTATCTTCTTGAATTTGAAGAGACTTTGCCTATGTCCCAAAATGTGGTCTATCTTTGAGAATGTCCCATGTGCGCTTGAGAAGAATGTATATTCTGTGGCTTTGGGGTGGAATGTTCTGAAGATGTCGATTAATTCCATCTGGTCTAGCGAGTCATTTAGGATTGATATTTCTTTGCTGATTTTTTGTTTAGATGACTTGTCAAAGGGTGACAGTGGGGTATTAAGATCTCCTACTATGATTGTATTGCTATTAATCTCTCCCTTAATGTCCTCCAGCAGTTTTTTTATATATTGGGGTGCTCCCATATTGGGTGCATATATATTTACCAGGGTTATTTCTTCTTGTTGGATTGCTCCCTTTAGTATTATGAAGTGGCCTTCATTATCTCTTGTTATGTCCTTCACTCTGAGATCTAACTTGTCAGATATAAGTATTGCTACCCCAGCTTTTTTTTCATTTCCATTTGCCTGGAAAACCTTTTTCCATCCCTTCACCCTCAGTCTGTGTGCATCTTTTTTTCTGAGGTGGGTTTCTTGTAGACAACAGATATATGGGTCTTGTTTTCTTATCCAATCCGTTACCCTATGTCTTTTGATTGGAGCATTTAGTCCATTTACATTTAAAGTTATAATTGATAGATACTTATTTGACGCCATTTTTATTCTATACCCCTGTGTTCCTTCTTTGCTTTCTATTTCTTTAATTTTACAGTAGACCCGTTAGCATTTCTTGCATTGCTGGTTTGGTGGAGATAAATTCCCTTAGTCTGTTTTTGTCTGTGAAGCTCCTGATTTCCCCTTCAATTTTGATTGATAGCCTTGCTGGGTACAGTATTCTTGGATTCAGACCCTTCCTTTGCATGACTTTGTATATTTCATCCCATTCCCTTCTGGCCTGATAAGTTTCTGTGGAGAAATCAGTTGCTAGTCTGATGGGGGTTCCTTTATATGTAACTTTCTGTCTCTCTCTGGCTGCTTTTAAAATTCTTTTTTTGTCGTAGGTGTTTGCCAGCTTAATTATAATGTGTCTAGGGGTTGATTTTCTGGGGTTCAATTTGCTTGGGACTCTGCGAGCATCTTGGATTTGTGTGGGTTTTTTCTTCTCTATCTCAGGAAAGTTTTCTGTCATTATTTCTTGAAATACATTTTCCATGCCTTCCTCAATTCCCTTTCCTTCTGGAACCCCTATTACTCTAATATTGTTTTGTTTTGTATTGTCCCAGAGTTCCCTTAGACTTTCCTCCTGTTTTTTAATTTTTTTTTCCAGAAGCTGTTCTAATTGGGTATTTTTTTCCATCTTGTCTTCTAGCTCACTGATGCGGTCCTCTGCTTCTTCTAATCTACTCTTGATGCTTTCTATTGAGTTCTTTACAGTAGCGATGTCATTTTTCATTTCTTCTTGGTTCTTCTTCATTTCCTCTTGGTTCTTACTCATATTGTCAAATTTGTCTTCCATTCTTTTTAGCCATCTTATGATCATTACTCTGAATTCTTGCTCTGGTAGGTTGCTTCCCTCTATCTCGTTTACTTCCTTTTCTGGTGAGGCCTGCTTTTCTTTCATATGCGGGCTGTGTCTTGGTCTCCCCATGATCTAGGATGTCTGGTTGTGTAGTTCTCTCTCTCCTGCTTTGATTTAAAGGCACCAAATACAACACAACCAGGTACAACACACAGGGGACTGAATCGGGATGAGTTTGAAATATTAATAACCACCAATAAGGGTGACTAGAACCCAGCTAGCAAAAACATACAATCAAACAAAAAGCATATCAAATCAATCTTATAAACAAAAGCATACAACTTCAGTATAGTTAACATTCAACATACCACTTCAAAGTGTTAGAGAGAAAGACTTTTGTTTTGTTTTGTTTTTAGGACAACTGCGAGGGAGGTGTGAATGGGCTCGGAGCAAGTAGTTGGAGATTAGATATATAGAAGTAGGGTGAAATTTTAGGAGGGGGTAGACAGAAGGAATGGGGAAAATCTAGAGCAGGAAAGGGTTAAGATAAACGGGGTACCAAAGGAAAATATCAGAAAGAGGGTGAAGGCATAAAGGATAGGTTGAGATAGAATAAAGCGTTGGAGAAGGAAAGATAGATGAAGCCTGTAGAACAGTAATCCTGAAATAAAAAAATATATATATATAATCAAATGAAATAAAAATAGTAAAAATAAACAAAAAAATAAGATGAGAAAGGTAACTTAGTAGTAGTACAATGTAGTAATTATAAAGATAAAATCAAGTGAGGAAAAAGAAAAAAAAATAGTTTCTTGAGTAAACGTTGCAAATAATGAAAACAAAAATAAAAAACAAAAATTTAAAAAATTAAAAAAAGTGATAAAATTTTAAAAAATTTAAATAAAATTTGCAGTAATGAAGGTCATTCGCTTCCTCTATTGTTATGATCCAGTCCTGATTTTTAGGCAGGTTTTGCTTTGTTTTTATTACACTAGAGTCAATTTGTGAATTAGCCTCTGGGGGCAGTGTTTCTAGGTTGACTTCCCAGACTCTAGAGCCTCTCCAGCTTTTTTTTTTTTTTTTAGTCCTCTCTGAAGCAGGAACTACGGAGGGGGGAGGGGGCAGGTCCGAGCAACCTCAATCTCCCGCAACTCTCCGATACCCCTCCAAGCCAGATCCAAATGTGTTGCTCTTTAGATATCTCCCCTGTTAGGAGCCCCGTCCACTTTCACGGGTGACACTCGCCCAACAGCGGGGCTTCTACTTGTAATCGCCGCCCTTGTCCTCCAGCTTCCGCGTTCTGCGCGCAGGCTTTGTTTTCGCCGAGAGTGCGCTCCACCCTCTCCCCGCGAAATCTGACCTTTTCGCCGAGCAGTGGGGCACTCCTGTGGGGCCAGGTGTTCGCGCCGCCTGGGATCCGCGTTCTGGGGGTCACAGTTGCTTGTTGGTCGCTGCGGCTGTGGATATTCAGGCCTCTGACACGATCCTATCTTCCTCTCAAGATGGCGAGGTTTCCCTATCCAGGCCAGCAGGTAGCTCCGGGCAGGGACGCAGCTCGCGTGGGTGCTTCCCTGTGAGGGGTACCTCTGTCAGCAGCCCCCCAGCAGATTCTTCTGGTGTTCGCTGTCTCCCAGCTTGCTAATAAACACTCACAGCTCAAGACCATCAGTTGCTCTCTCTTTCTGCTTCGGGAGAGGGCTCAGAATCCGCCATCTATTCTTCCGCCATCTTCCCTCTCAAGCTCCATCCTCTTTCAAATCAATAAGAATTATATATATATAAAAGCCTACTGTTGACTGGAAGTCTTACATAAACAGTCAATTAACACAGATTTTATATGTTATATACAATATAATCATAATAAACTAGAGAAAAGAAAAATTAAGAAAATAATAAGAAAAATATATTTACAGTTTTTATTGCATATAAGTGGAACCACACAGTAAGTTTATAAATTTTTTTAAAATCCAGTTTCTTTTTTAGAATATTGTGGTGTTCAAATAATAGTTAAGGTAAATGTTGCCTGTTTTCAGTTAATGAAGAGAAACTTTATCATACTAGGACATAATTTTTATTTTCAATCTCTTAAAAACAACCATCTTGTTTCCCTCCAACTGTTTCTGACAGGGTCTGAATTTTTAAAAATTTTTTATTGACCCAAGCACACTTACGATGAGATCTGTCCTCTTAACAAACTTTTAGGTGTACCATACATCATGGTTGCAGAGGTCGCCAACCGGCGGCCTGTGGGCCACTGGTGATCAGTGAGGTACAAAGTGTGCAGCAGATCTCTAGAGCTTTTCATCTTGCTTAACTGAGACTTTATTCCCATTGATTAGTAATTCCTTATTTCCATCTCCCCCTAGCCCCTGGCAACCACCATTCCACTCTGTGATTCTGTGAATTTCACTCTAGTAGAGATACTTCTTGAATTTTCTAGAAGCATGAATGGAGATTAATGCAAATTATGCCTGGTAGAAAGGTACCACGAAGGAAAAACAAGCCAAGAAGTTGCCTAATTCTGACACTACTATTGAAGCAGCTGGGAAGTCCTTTCCATTTGAGATGCCTCAGTTCGGCTCAGTTGGCTGCGAATTGAATAGGTGTAACTAGTTTCCCAAATTCCTTTTAATCTTCTAGCAATGCTGTATTTACATTTAGCGGGACTATGTATTATGTCTTTTAAATTTTTAGTTTTTAAACTTGCAAAATCCGCAAGGAATCCTCTCTGGGACCTTGGATGCTGATACACTTGTTTGCTTTCTTCCAGGTTGTTGAAGAGACACGAAAACAGCCTATCAGTGCTAGCCATTAGTAACATGGAAGCGTCCTCCACCCTTGCCAAATGCCTTTACGAACTTAACTTTACAGTTCAGAGTAAAGAACAAGAAAAAGACTCGGAAATGCTGCAGTGAAAAATAATTCCACTTCTGTAGTGGGGAACTCAAAGTCAGACACATTTCACATGTTACTGAAGAAAGCACCAAGTCTTAATGGAGCAGAGACCATAGAATGAATTATTTTCTCTCCTCCCGTGATGCTGAGAGGAAGCTTCGTATTCTGATCTCTGAGTGATCCCTTTGTTCTGTTTTAAAAAAAAAACCTAAAAAGAAAAAGAAAAAAAAAAACTGCTGTGGGATTGTCAACCAGCTTATCTGCAGGATGTCTCTCAGATCTGAAAACTCCTGATGGAAACTGGTGTGATCAGAATTCAGTACCATCCACATTGGAATATACATGGAATATTGTAAAACCTACATGAGCAGATGAAATAGAAGCATTAAATATTTTTATCTATATCCAAAAAGGAGCACATTTTTATATTTACAAAACCGTTTAAGCTGGTTTGAATAATTAAAAAAAAAGTTTCAGCACACCTATACCCCATATCTCTGAGGGGGCCACCAATATCTAGCTATGGATTGTGTGTTTTGTTTAGAAATCAGTAGCTTGGTTTTCTTACTTGAGCCAATATATTTTCACTTATTTATTATCATAAAAATTTACCAGTCTGAATAGATCTTGTAAATATTTGTGAATAGAATGAACACCTTTCATGCCACTGCAGCCACTGGAAATACATTCTGTGGTGTCCTAGAAGCATTACTGGTAGGTCCTAAAGTTTTCTAGACTTTCCTGTCAATTGTAAGTAATTGTGATATATTCTACGCAGTGGATGAATGTTCTTTAAATTTGTGTAAATACTTCTGCAAAGGTACTGATGCTGTAAAGTCAAAACAGTTGTGGAACTGTGATTTTTTTTTTTTCCTTTTCTTTTTTTGTATTATACACCTTGTTAGAACTCATTTTGCTGGCTGAAAGAGTAATGAATAATATATCTCATGTCATTTTTGTAGAAGAAAAACTATTTGAAGGTATTTTTTGGTTTTCCCTAACATGTATCCACTGTAAACGTTTGTCATGTGCGAGCTCAGAGCTTGGACAGAATTTTTTTGTATTTGTAAATTGGTTTAAATACATGGAATTTTATACAGGTTTTCTCCTGTGTTATATATGCATTATGTGCAGGTATGATATTTTCTTCACTACTTTTTCTATCTTAATATAGTGTGGAATTTTATTGTATTATTCTTCCATTCTTAATACTGTATCACATTCCTGCTCAGAAACTGCTCACTTCCTTATTAAATTGTCTTTTCTCCTCGGCGTGACATGTATCCATTTATAACTGCCTATTGCCTGTTCTATTAGCACTCAAAAGTGTGGAAGGCCTCCAGCCACCATTTCTGCTGTGTCATTAGGATGTGCAGTAAAAATAGAGACCTAACAGTTATGTTATAGAATGGCTTTATTTACTTTGGTGACTGTTTATAGTTTTTAAATAAAAGACTGAACATTTTCTTGAGTCCTTCATTTTTGAGTATGATTAAGACATTCTTTAAAAATAGAGAAATTTAAATTCAGCAGAAGACAAGAGCCAGTCACCTATTTGATGTATGTTTATAATACATTGAACAGAGAATAGCTACGAGTTCCTTTACTGAGAGAGTGCAGGAGACAGGCAGGAGATGGAGACTATATGTTTTCTATTAGACTGCAAGGCAAACCGGATTATAGTTTGACACTGTTTCTTTGACAAATCATTCAGAACCACAGTGCATCCAAGTACTTACCTTGAATCTTAATTACTTTAAGAGCAGCTTCTGAGAGTAAAAGGGCCTTAGTTTGGATCTAAAAATTTTCCTCACTATTTTGATTCAACTACTAGCAAAGGAAAATCTCATTTCTCTCTGGCACTCTGCCATGTATTAATGAATGCTTAAACTTTTCCTCCAACATTGGTTACAGTTATTTCCTGGGGCTGTGGGGCTTATTCTCGGCCCACCTCCCAATATTAGGGCTGCCTATGGACACCGGCGATGCTGTGGTTAACACTACAATCACTCTCAAGCCCCCAAAACTTACAAGGCTACCAGTGGTGGGTGTCAGTTGGAGAATTTTCTATTCATTGTATTTACCTAAAAACCTCTTTATTTTTCTAACATAATTTTGTGTAACATCATTGTTTGTTTTAAAGGTATGTTTCTTTGCAAACTAAGACTGCTATGGTAATCACATTAATAGAAACTTCAGGTTTAGAAAAGTGATTTTCGTATTCACCATTCTTCCACCTTCTTGGAATTGCATGCCATGGTTCTAGCTTTTTGTGCTATAATATGTAAATACGTCTGTAGTCTCGAAGCATTGGTCTCGGCAGAGAATTTTCTAAATATGTATTTGACCTAATGAAACCAATTATGACTTTCCACTTAGGCTTTCCTTCTTACAGCTTTATAGAACTACATGATGAAACAACATGGACGTGCTGGGTAATGGAATTAAAGTGCTCACGCACAAGTTCTGCGTAACCCTCTCATTCGTGAAAAGGTGCTCCTCGCTAGACAGAAACGTGCTGATTTCCAGTATTGTTATTTTTGTCTGAAGTTCTGTAAATACATGCTTTAATGTTATCTTTAAGAAATCTATGTAAATTATATAGTCTACAACTTAGAGACTGTACAATTCTGTGTTATATATGTGCCTCGTGCTCTGTTGGCACTCAATAAATTTTAAGTAACAGAATTGATAATCATATAGCCAAGGCATATTTTTCTTCCAAGTTCAAGACAGGATGTGACTATATACTAATGAGACTCGGTAGTTCAAGCCACAGATGGAAACTTGTCTCATTACTTTATAGTCATGCCATGTATGTTTTTTTTAACCATAAAATAATAAAAGTGATTTTTAAAACGAGAATGTTTTGGGTAAGTGACTTCTGTCGTGATCTTGATCACTGTGATTGAAGTGTTAGACACCAAGGTAGCGTGGCGAGACTTTTTCCACAAAACGGAGCGGTGAAGCAGCAGGAGCACAGCGACGGCAGGTGGTGCCGGGATCGTTTTTGATCAAATAGTATGTTAAGAGAGAAAATAAAATCCGGTGTTTATCCAAGGAAAAATTTAGCTTACCAACACTCACATTAACTCTTCACAGTACATAATGCAGTCACTGGGATATTCAGAATTGTAACGACTTTTTCCTAAGGGAGCAAAGCAAATGACAGTGCTTCTTGCTAGTTACATTACAGCCATGGCTTTTCCCACTACCTGGATATTTGCAAATCTAGTTGCATTTGTGAATCCTCATTTCATTAAGGAGCAGATGCTTCTGTTGTTAAAAATTAGTTCTAGGATTGCACTGTGCATATCTTAGAAAGGCTGAGACACACTGTCACATAGGTAGGTGAGCAGATTTGTTTCCTCTTAAGACTACAGTTAAGTCCTTACTTAGGTTGTCAATGAGTTCTTGGGACAGGTACAACAACGTATATACCGAAACCAGTTCACCACAAGCTAATAAAAAGTTGCTATGCTATGGCATCTCAAAACTTGGAACAAAACATTACTTGAGAACCTACTGTACTTAATTATTAAGAGAAAAAGCTGCCATTAAGTCCTGGTTCCTGTGGATTTCAGTCTGAAATGAAGTTTTTTAAAGCAGTGGTTGTGGGGTTTATTCTTGGCCCACTGGTGGTTCCCAACGTGGGGCACCAGCCCCACAGGGGTCAATTTTGATTTTTAAGGAGGGCAATTCGAGAATGAGTTAACTTTTTTTTTTTTTCACTTCTCATAATTCTAGGGGCATCTACAGTATATAAATATTGACATTCATGCATTTTGGTTCTCTTTTCCATATCACTTCCTAGTATTATTTCTCCCTCAGTACTTCAACTATCCTTTTGTTATTTTTCTTTCATGGATGCTATATTCTTTGGAAGCTTGTTTAGAACAAGTTAATGGCCTTTTAGGTTTCCTCCACGTGAATAGAAGCTCACTTTTTGAATAGAATTTTATGTCACACGAGTGAGCAAAGGATTTGAGATGCTTAGGTGGGGCTGGGACAAAAAAAAAAAAATGGTTGGGAACCACTGTCTTGTGAGTAGGCAATACAACCATGCAATTTAATAATAAAAATGTTCAAGAGGGCCTGCCAGGGGTTGCTCAGTGGTTGAGCACCTACCTATGAACCAGGAAGTCAGAGTTCAAATCCCAATTAGGGCACAACCCCAGCTTGCAGACTTGATCCCTAGTGGAGGGCATGCAGGAGGTAGCTAATCAACAATCCCCATCATTGATGTCTTTCTTGCCCTCCCCACCTCTAAAATAATTTTTTTTTTAACTAAAAAACAATGAGAAATCGCCCCTCCAACCACTCAACCTCCCACTTGCTGGATCCCACCCCCTATTGCCAGATAACCACTGATCATATCTCTGTAGTACATCTCTGGTGTTGATTACACATAAGCAATTAGGATATTCTCTCATTTCTACACAAAATGTTTCATACCATTAACACTGCTGCACTTTTTTAAAAACTGAAGATCTTAAGGTCTTTCAATATTGGTATGAGAAGAGCTCCATTTTATGGGTGTACCATGACCTATTTAACTAGACCCCTTATTGATGAACATTTCAGTGGTTTCCATGCTTGATGCTGGTCACTAACAGTTGCTAAGCATTTCCCTCTGTCAGTCGCTGTGCTAAGCCTTTTCACGTATCATCTCAGCCTTCACAACCACCCAATGTGGTAGTTGTTTTATAAATGGGATAACGAGGATTTAGAATAGTTAAGTACCTTGAATAAGGCCATATGCCAAGTTAAGTGGAGCTGTGTCACCAGTACACACACAGCCCAATTAGAATTAGAATTCTTTCCAGGGGGAGTTAGGTTGCTAGTACATACAAGACTCCAATTCTGGGTGCCAATCATTATTTTTGTATTTGCTTCACTGGTCTCATTAAATATTTTCTTCCTGTTAATTTTGTTATCTTTCTAAAGTTTTCCATAATTCCTCAGATTTATTTTCCAAGTATTTATTAATTTGACACCGCTCCACTTTTTAGAGCCACCAAAACTTTCTGGGAATTTCCTTAACAAAGGAACATTTCTTAGGCATAAGATTATACTAACTTGAAACCAGTTTCCAGTCAACTACTATCCACTCTAGCGTATAGTTTGAACTGTTGGCTCAGTGATTGGCAAACCATGGCTCGGAAGCCACATGTGGCTCTTTGGCCCCTTGAGTGTGGCTTAGCATTAGATCCACTTCTTCAAAACAGACTCGCCCAGGCCGAATACCGACTTCTGCGCACGGGCCACGAAGTTTCAGTCGCACTGTATGTGCGCGCCCGCACGTGGTGTTTTGTGGAAGAGCCACACTCAAGGGACCAAAGCGCTGCATGTGGCTCACGAGCTGCGGTTTGCCGACCAGTGTTAGCTGACCCTTTTGGCCAGATTTGTTCAACATTTCCAGGATTAAAAAAAAATTTTTTTGTTGTTGAAATTATTACATATGTCCCTTACTAAGCTCAGGAACTGTGGTAGAACTATAAATTAGTATACTCCTTTTAGAGAGCAATTTGGTATCTATCCAAATTAAAATGTGTGTATACTGAAATTCAATGTAACCTCATAAACAAAAAGAATGTTCATTAACATTGTTTCTAATAGTCAAAAGTTACTCATCAACCAAAGAATAGAACCATTATAAAATAAACATGGGTGACAGAATATACCTTCAATTTTTTTTTTTTTTTTTTTTTTTTTTAACAGGAGAGGGAAAAACAAACACCAATGGGAAACGTTGGCTGCCTCCTGCATGAGCTCCGAGCAGGGCCTAGGAGCCTGCAACCGAGATATGTGCCCTAGACCAGAACTGAATTTGGGACCCTTAGATCCACAGGCCTGTGCTCTATCCACTGAGCGAAAGCAGCTAGGGCTATCTTCAATTTCTTAAGGGCACAAGAGATGCAGAACAGTTTACAGAATTTATGTGCTGGGGTAACTTGAGTATTCTACCTCAAAAAGCATTTTTGTAAATGTGATGAAGAGTATGGGAACATAAAGAAAAATTTCTGATGGTTCTCTCTGGATAGAAAAACCAGCTTAGGAAAATGGAGTTTTATACTAACTATAATTGAACTTTTAAGTTATATATTAAATGTATGTACATAATTATATCTTAAAATTTATGGGAAAATAAAAACTGATTGACCAAGGTGTCCTACTTCTACGAGTTAACCCCCAGAAAACAATCTGATATGGGTACAATTTACTAGTATATAGTCAGATGTATCAGTCTTATTTAAGTACCATTTATATTTGACTGACTTAATTAGTAAAAACATCTTACAGAGGCTGTTTAAAGAATCTATATATATAAAAGGCTAATATGCAGTGTCCCTGCAAGAGTTCAACTCGCTATGATATGCACTGACCACCAGGGGGGTGGTGGGGAATGAAGACTAGAGCCCTTTCTGTGCACAAATTTTATGCACCAGGCCTCTAATCCTACGAAAAGCCTATGTGGTTGTGACACCTTCACGCTGTGACGCTCTCATGTTATAATGAGCGGTCACCAGAGATGTGGGTGCAGCTGTGTGCACGGGCAGGTGGGTGGGACCTTGGCGCTGTGTGCACAGTGAGGCGGCGGGTGCTGCAGCTCTGGCCCACCTCTTTGGGGCAATCCATCAAGAAGCCCCGGATGGGTGGGGTGGACCTACCTCTTTGGGGCAGTTGTGGAGCTCCCACATTGAGGGCCCAGGCCAGGCTGGGGGACCCCCCACTCAGTGCACCTATTTCTTGCACTGGGCCTCTGGTACCTATATAATAGAACACTAAATAGCCATTAAAAATCACGCTCTAGAATAATTTTTATTAAAACAACTTCTCAATACATCATTAAGTGAAAAGGAGGACTTACAACAATTATGTGCAATTTAATCAGTGTTAATAGTTGTTACCTTTAAATCACGGGCAATTTTTCTCCTTTTGCTATTCTGTTTCTTCTGTCTTTATGGATTTTTTTTTTATTTACTAAAGTGTTTCTAGTTTCCTGTAATGATTATGTAATTAGGAAAAATGCTGTAAAAACAGATGCTTGTAGTTAACTTGAAGCTTGCTTTACAACTTGGACATTAATGTAACTATGATGCTAGTTACTTTGGTACAAATCCAAGGAACACTTCAATGAATGTCTGGAAAGAATTATGAAATAAAAATCCATTTCCCAGGAATCTTAATAAGATGTTCAAGACACTACTTTGTTTATCAAAAGAATTTATTAGAAAATATTACACACTACACATCTGTTTAAGAGCATTGTTTCAGTAGACAGCACTCTGTCCTCACACTACAAACCATGTCTCATGAGCCTTAGGCAACCAACCCTGTGCTCCTGAAACTACATCTTGATGTAACATAAGTAGTACATACTGTGGCCATTTAGAGGGAGATGATGAAGAAAATGTGGTAATTACCAGGGGGGGGGGGGGGGGGAATCACAAAACTTTTGGAATGTTCAAATAATAACTACCTTCAGTTTCAAAATTCTAGGCATCCTTACCTCTTAAAACATTGGTCAATGTGACTAGTAAGTTAAAGGGACAAGGTTTCAAAGGTTAAGTTAATACTGAATCTTCATAAATAAATCTAACACCACAAAATATTTTTAAGTTTGCACACATGCAAAATTAATATAAATTTCTGAAAAACCAAGAATGGGGAATGTTAAAGCAATGTATTTTTTAACATAAAGCATGCACTTTCTAATACGTTCTCAAATGTTTCCAAGTTTTAAAAGTTTGAATTCTAATGCAGTAAATTCTTCATTAGCTATTCTAAATGTGGTCTAACCAATACACCAACGATATGGATTATACCTTATTTTCAGGAAAGGTGGAAATAAGCCATGACAGTGCTACCAAACATCTGAGATTTTATCACATCAACTAGTTTTTCTTTAAAAACTTATTTTAAACATGTTTTCAAAGGATAAATAGTAAAGCAAATTTTAAAATGTCACCCAAATCCCAAACGTCACTGAAAAAAAAAAATGAAGGAAAAGTAGGCATTGTGTGATTAACTGGCTTAGGCAATATGCTATAAAATTTTCAAAGTGTGAACCAGCTTTAACTCAAAATAGATTTAAAGTTAACACAGTTGTTTCTAGAGCTCAAAACTGAAACAAGTGAGTATGTGTGCATTGATATTTAAAATACTGTCTTAATATTTTATTAGAAGAAATATAGTTCTACCCTTTCCCACAATCTAAACACAAACTTTAATTAAAAATATATATAAATCAGTAGAATACCATATTACAAATGCCCAACAATGCAGAATAAAGATCAAAAGCTGCTTGGAAATGTTTCTAATAGTTTTTGGGATTATACTCATAATCTACTAAAGATTATGAACTAGCAGAATCATTACTGGGGCCATCATTTCAAAATATTTTGCCTATCAAAGCTAGCACCAGGAAAATATTATGCACATAAAATTGAGAAACACAATCTTTATTTCAGAAAAGCACAGTCCTACAGAATATTGATCTTGCTAGTTTAGCTAGTAAAAGGGTCAGCCTGTTTCATTGAGCCATATCTTTGTCTGAATAGCTTTCCAGTATTTGGTATCTACCTAAAATTGTTCTAGAATTAAAGACAGATTATCATGGAGACAATTCATTGTTTCCTTCCAAAATGCCAATTAAAATAACGATACTATTAACACTTTTAACTTACCTTTTATAAAATTTAACATATTTTAATACTTAAAAAAACAACAACCAAATCCCTAGCCTCTGAAGACCTAACCCAAATTCCATTATTTAATTCCTCTCCCTTTTCAAAACACAGATTTTGATGTCAAAATTTTCCAACATGCTTAATGGCCATCATACGGTCCTCAAATTAATACTTCATTCACTGTAAAACATTTGGATATCTCAAGTGTGAAAAGAATTCATTAGTGATTAGACAAATGAACAACCACCTGAAAGCCACTGAAGCGAGTCTCACAATTCACCTTAGTCTCAAGAAAGAGAGGATCACAACCACTTACTGCAGTTCTCTGGTTGGCACAGATAATTTATCATCTCTGATTGATAGGAAATATTATGAAAAAACAATTTTTACAAAGTCAACACTTTTTTCCACACTGATCTTCTAAATTCAACTAAGAATTTAGACTGCCAAAGCCGTAAATCTAGCAAATGTAAATATAGCTTCATCTCAAATGCGGGGGGGAGGCCACAAAGAAAAACAAGCAGCATACCCTTTATTTGGTGATACAATAGGTCAACAGTGCTCCCAAGTTTTGAACACTGAGTTTTACTCACATGATCATGTTTTCTAGCAAAGCAATTTTATTCAGATGTGTGCTTTTAAAAATACAGATTAGGAATCCTGCAATTGGTATGTTCTCTTACTAGAAATATTTTTCATGGTAATACATTACTTAACTTTCTATAATTAGAGGGGGAAATCATATAGATCATACTTTATTTTTAGCCTGACAGAATAATATATATATCTCTTCCAAAACCAGTGCACTTAGAAATTTCTAATTTATGCACTCCATTGTTCAAATAAAAAAGCTGTATGTACATCTTCCAGCATCCACACTGTAACACAGTCCTAGTAATAATGCATTCCTTAACCCCTTTACTTTACCTTAAATTTGCTCTTATTTGGGGTGGGGGAGGAAAGGATATAGAAGTTACAGTGCAGAACTATTATTTATTTTGAACAAAACATATTCTACGTTAAAAAAAATAATTTTATCAAAACCAAATTTCAATCACAGTTAGGTATGATTTTCAGTTAAAGGTATATGTTGAAATTGCACTTTGCAGATATCTTGACAGTGTCCTTTATAGTGCTCTCCATTTCAGCCTATGTTTTTTTCAGTAGACACAGGTTCTTCCAGAGTTTTCTTTTGGCTTCCTTTACGTGAATATTTGTATTTGTCTACATAGGCTTTAACCAAATTTGCCACTTTAGTAGAATTGACTTCTCCACTCTTACTATGACAAACCTATGGAAAAATGAGAGAAATTTTTTTTTCATAGTTAAAAGGAATCAAATGACAGCTTTGTGAAAAACAACCCAAACCAGACATTTTTCCATGTTTCTTCATATCTTATATGACCTTATTCAACAGTTAAGGAAGCAGACGAGAATTAGAAGAAGACAGCTCTTATTATTTTAATTAGACTTAAGCATTCCATCATTAAAATAGAGATGGTTCAAAACAATACATACAGAACTACACTAAAGCTATAACTTACTTTATCTACTGCTTTTCGTACAATCTCTTTATATTCTTCCTTGGTGATATCTTTATTTTGGTAAAAGGGCTTAATGGCCAGTTTTACCTCCTGTGCTGCTTTCTCTTGAATTTGCAATTTCTAATAAGAAGAAAATGTATAATTATTATTTTCCCAACTGAATACTATCAAAAACTATTTAAAAATATAAAATTAAAAGCACTGTGCATTTGCATTATTAGCTCTTCAAATATGAATGTTGTAAACACAAAATTTATTTACTAACATACATATCAAACATTTCTAAAAATAATTATGAAATATTACTAGCAACTCATTGGGCATCAACATATCTAGTCAGGACCCTTCAGGTCCCTTCAAATAATAAGACTATCAATAAATTAATAAATTTCCTTTATCACTTATACAATAGAAAGCTGTTATTTTTTTTCAACTTTATCAGAAACAAAATTTTGTAGGTTGCTCTCAACCTTGAACTTGCCTTGTCTGTCTTCGAGCTATCTGCGCTGGCTTCCACTGTAACACTTACTTTGCTTTCTGCCAATTTTACAGCAGCGTTAGAGGCTTTGCTGTGACTTGATGACGAAGCATTACCAGAACTTGGTCCCTGAACTGTTTCCATATTTGCAGGGACTGCTGTTGGAGCAGGCAAGACTGGTGTACTCATGTTATTAGTTACATGAGAAGCACCAGGAATACCCTGTTTTAAAGAGTTATCATCAATTAATGAATTACTTGTACTCAATATAAATCTTTAGTTACATATTAGAAATAACATTTAAAAAATTCAAAGCAATTCAATCTTGGTACTTAAAGAGAAATGCATTATTTCAGGTCTTTTATATCTAAAGGACTCTGAAGAATAATGAGTAACATTCTTAAAAACACTGTTTAAAGATATCAAGATGACTTTTAAATTATGCATGTGTATTGTAATGTCCTGACACCAACACTAAAAACAAGAAGAGCATTTAAAGAACAATATCTTTCCTGCAAGGTTTCTTATGGAAATTAAAGTGCCCCCCTTTAAAGATCAGAGGAAATAGGCAGTGAAGTCAAGCGGCTTGCAGTGAGTTGACAGCAGAAAAAGATTTAAAATCCCATATTCTGGAATCCCATTCCCTTGTTCTTCCAACTATATCTTGCTATCAGGATTCTAGGATTTCTGAAATGTAGACATAAAACTATAAGCAACACAATGCTTACAAATTATTCAAATGATCTGTATGCCTCAGAGGCACCTCATTCTTTTTAACATGGTAAATTCACGAATATGAGACAGTAATAGCTAATGAACAGTTTAACTGGCATCTGACCAAATAAGACAATAGAAGCTTTATTCCAGTACTTTATCTCAAGTTCCCACCCCATGACAAGTCCAATGAATTAGGGAAAAATTTGAAGCATCCGCAACAATTCTAGTTTGGCTCATTATTATCTGGTCCTCTTAATGTGAAAATACCTATTTGGAATTTAATAACATTATAATGTAGACTTGGTAATATATATTCAATTCAGTTTCTTACTTGGGAGGAGGAAGGTTTAGGAGAAGAACTGTGAAAGAGGGGTTATGAAGATTTACCATAAACCCAGCGATTTTCAACCAGTGTACTACAAGAATTTTAAAACTTGCAATACCTGATGATTTAATCAAGGACACTGACCTATTTTCCCTTAGATTGTCAAATAAAAAAATAACAACTAATACAACAATAGCTGTCCAGTGTCAATGAATCAAATTTACACCTATTGATTTTGTCAGATTGGCAAAAAAATGCTTTTTGTTGTGCTGCAAAGTTTTAATTCGTTTATATGTGTCATGAGATAAAAAAGGTTGAAAATCACTGCATAAACCTAATGATATAAATAATTGTTTTGTATGACAGGAAGCCCTTTCTTGAATATCTGTTCCTAATAGCTAATTGCTTACAATGGCTATGTTGATTAAATTTGAGTTGCTAAAAACATACCTGCAATTGCTTTCCATCTGGCTGTGAAGCAATGTAGCTGACTTGTTGGGATGGTGGGGGAGGGGGTGGGGGTGGCGGCAGTCCCTGAGATACACTGGTAGGAGCAGCTACCTGCATGAGAGGTACTCCTGTGTGCAGATGCAAGGGTAGCTGAGGATGAATATTATATGGATTGCGTTGGATGTTCATCAAAGGAGCATGAACACCCATTGGATATGGGAAGATATTCATAGGCTGGTGCTGTGCATTCATTTGTTGCTGCATTACATTCATTTGTGGTTGCATCATATTTATGGGTAGCTGAGAACCATCACCTTGTTGGTTTGTTTGGTCTTTTAAGTTAGAATCTATCAAAAGAAAAAGGCTTGTGAAAAATATGTTACAAATTTCTTTAGAGAAACAAAGAACTGATGGTTATAGTAAAATTACATAGCAATGAACAGACTCAGACATCTAAACTGATCTCCAATTATTTGGGTTACACTCATTATTTCTAAATAATGTGGGCTGATTTTCTAAAAGAAAACATGCAACTAAAATAATTTTTAAGAATACAGTTACATGATAATATCCATCAATATGAGCAGTAGCTCAAGAAACTTACTAAGGAAATAAATACAAACTCATTTCAGGTTTTTAATCTTCAACAACTTTTTCTTACATTGTTAGCAAAAAAAGTCAAGAAAAATAAATCTTTATTAAAAAAATGAGTTAGCCGAAACCGGTTTGGCTCAGTGGATAGAGCGTCTGCCTGCAGACTGAAAGGTCCCAGGTTCGATTCCGGTGAAGGGCATGTACCTTAGTTGCGGGCACATCCCCAGTAGGGGGTGTGCAAGAGACAGCTGACGATGATTCTCTCTCATCGATGTTTCTCTCTGTCCCTCTCTCTTCCTCTCTGTAAAAAATCAATAAAATATATATTTTTAAAAAGGATTTATATGAGAACAATGATCAAAATAATCCATGAGTACACATCTGAAGTAAAATAAGTAGAAGTAAAATCCTGCATAGAAACATCCCAAGTTTTTCTACTGTAGCAAATTATACTTAAAATATTAAACGTTTTGCAAAGTTTCAGGCAGGGGTAGGATGAAATAAGAAAATAAAAACTGATGTGTATATATTTATTTAAAATATAAAGTAACCTGTAAACAATTGGGATTCAATTAACATTATCCCATATAACAACATTATCCTATATAATAACATTATCCTATATAATAGGCTAATAGGCAAATCGACCTAAATGGCAGAACGGTCACTATGATGCACACTGACCACCAGGGGGTAGACATTCAATGCAGGAACTGCCCCCTAGTGGTCAGTGTGCTCCCACAGGGGCTGTGGGGGTGGGGGGTGGGGCAGGGGCGCCACTCAGCCAGAAGCTCTGAGCCGGGCTCACAGCTGGCGAGTGCAGCGGTGGTGGCAGGAGCCTCTCGCGGCAGTTGAACATCCCTGAGGGCTCCCGAACTGGAGAGGGCACAGGCCAGGCTGATGAAATACTCCCCCCCCCCCCCCGCCACCCCCGTGCACAAATTTCATGCACCGGGCCTCTAGTAAAACTATAGAGACACATCATTTCAATTCAAATGAATAAGGCATTAAAACTTATAGTCTCTTTTCTCAAATAAAAGTGTTAATAAACAGAATAATTACCCTGTTCAGGTGTTTCCTCTTCCGGTCTCACCCATCCAGACTGTGAGCCTGAGGAGTTCCTCCCTCGTCGTGAATAATAGTTTTGCACATCTGCTGGGAGAGTCTTTCTCACAGCCCAACTAGATGCAGATGTCCACCCGGACCTATCTGCTGGTGTATCAAATGAGAACTCTTGCTCACTTTTCCGTTTATAGGGTTGCTGTTCCACAAACTTGAAAGATTCATTCCCTGAACCATTTGAATTCCCTGAGAGGGGTTTTCGGTTTTGCCACCGATTTTCATTTTGATCTGAATAGGCAAAATTACCTCTGTAAGTGCCTCTGCCCCGGTTACCTCTACCACGGTTAGACATCCAACCTGAACCAAAGTTTTTATTCCAAGTGTTCCCTGAATTTTCATTTCTATTTTCTTCCCAAGGGGAGTCTTTTAACTTTTCTGGATGTCTGGTCCTTGGATCGGGTCCAGAATTTATTGTTTCTGTTACCCAACTGGAACAGTCATTTCTATGTTTGTCAGCAGAATTTGGATCATCAGCATCTGGACTGATGTCATTTTTTTCTTTTCTTGTATTCTCATTCTGTTTCTCTAGGTCATTCTTTCTGTACCGATCATTTCCTCGTGGACATCTCCAACCATCATTTGCCCATCTTTCCTTCCACCGAGGAGAGTAGCTCTCTCTGTCATTTCTACCAAATGATGAACTCTTACTTTTTGTTCTAGATCTTGATGGTGACCTAGAACGAGATCTGGACCTAGACCACCTTCTGGTTCTCCTTTCTCTTTCTCTTTCTCTCCTAGGCCCATCTCTATCACTTTCTCTTTCTCTGCTCCGGGACCTAGATTTTTCTGTTGGGGAGGAATCTTTCACTCTTGACTGAGATCTTCTGTTCTCTCTAGAAGTGTCTCTCTTTGGGGAGAGTGATTCTGATCTTTTGCCTTCCGTTGTGCTATCTTTTTTTGGAGATCGAGACTGTGATTGCCTTCTTTCCCTTGCAATATCCTTTCTTGGGGACTGAGAACGAGATTTTCTCCGTCCTCTTGATTCTTTTTTGGGAGATGGTGACCGAGACTTCCTGATTTCTTTTCCAGTTTCTCTTTTGGGCGATGGAGACTGAGACCGCTTCTTTTCCCGTGTAGTGTCTCTGTTGGGAGACCAAGTTGTAGATGGAGAATGAAATCTAGATCTTCGAGTACGGGGCTTTTTTGCTTTATCTATCAAATCTATTGGGTTTTCTAGTGGCTGAGATACAGTTTCAACTTTTTCACTTACAGGATCAGAAGGCGGCATATCATTTTGAAAACTGTGCTCTGCAGAATTCTTGTTCAATTGTTTAGCATCAGTATTTACAGACAATTCAATTCCACATTCATTCTGATCACTGCAATAAGAATCACATTCCATAGGTATCATTTCATTATTGTCTTCACTAAAATGCTTCTGAATCTGTTCAACATGTGTGCTAGGCAAGTCTGTAGATCTGGGATGTTCAACCAGAGACTCAGCCTTTTCTTCTAAAGATGTGTCTAATTTGGTGTTTAAATTATTTTTTAATAAATTACTTTCAGAGTCTTGAATACTATTGAAATTTTCATTCCCTGAAGTATCACACATTACTTCTGCATCTCCAGTTTCAACGTGCCCAGGTAACTGAATCTCGGAGATCTCAATAGAGGTTTTGTCTGCTGTTTGTATAATTCCACTTTCAGAAGATTCTAATTTTGGGCTGCCTCCAAGCTGTTCTTCTTTTACTGTAGAACCATTATGATCAATAATTCCTACTATAGGACTCTCTATAACCTCTTGATCATTAACCTCTACAACTTTTTCTTCATTGACCTCTACAACTTTTTCTTCATTAACCACTATCTCTGCATTCTCAGATAACTCATCTAGGCTTGGTACAGGTTGGTGTACTTCAATTTCAGATGCTGAACATGTAAGAGTATCATTAGGAGGATGATCTGTACACTTATCTACTTTTACTTCTGATTCTGAAGGTACAGATATTTGGTCTTCATTTTCTAATTGATCACCTCCTTCAGAAATAGTTTTAGAAATATCACCTTCTATGCAAAAAACTTTAGACTCGTTATCCGTATTCTCAACTTTTTGAACTTCGTCAATACCTGTATTCTCAACTTTTTGAACTTCCTCAATACTTGCATTCTCAATTTTTTTAATTTCCTCAATACCCGTATTCTTAACTTTCTGAACGTCCTCCTCCTCTCCAATTAGAATAGGAGGATCTTGGATACAAGACTCAGAATGTGAAGATTCTACTTTTTCCCCTGTGTCATGGTTTTCAGTATGTTCCTCACTTTCTTCTATTTGCTCACTGCAACTTTTCAAGCCATTAGCAGACTTATTTTCTACATTTGTCTGCACAGTACAAGTGTTTCTACTTTCTTCATCTGATAGGTGCTCTTTCTCCAACACAGGTGGTGTGTCAGATTCTGCTGTTTCTTCATCTACTGAATCACTGGAAGATGCTTTTTCAGGAGGAGGTACAGAGCTTCGAAGTTTCTTTTTCAGTAAAGGTGGTTTTCTTCCTCTTCTTACAGACTTCCGTTTGGGGGCCTGTCTTGTTTGCTTTTCTGACTCAGTGGAAGAAGAAACACTTAGAGATGGATTACTGTTTTCTGGGGCATCATACCCAGAATTATTTGATGCTGGGGATTTCTGAGAATGAGTGACCGTTTCAGTTCTTGTGTTACGTGTAGATCTCCTTGTAGGAGTTGCTGCTGCAGATTTTCGTCTTGATCCTCTGGTGTTTGATGTACCGGAAGTTTGCTTTTTCTCTTCTCCTTCTTGAGTATGTGCTAATGCATATCCCTTGCAAGAAGTACCTAATATTTTTTTAAAGGGTAAAAAGTATATGTTTCAATAAATGAGAATAGTTTGGCTTCAGCTTATTTTAGCATATAATAGACATTTATAACAGAGTGAAACAAAATATACTTATGAATTAAATTATGAATAAATGAACAGCTACTAACATCTGAGTAATATCAGATATTTATCAGCTTCTATTAATGCTACTGAAATAAGTTATCACAAGATTTGAATCCATCTAGGCAATTTTATATAGAGGGGAAAACACAGAGGAAAATACGTTTGGTCTGATAACTGCCATTTGCTTTATGAATTGGTACCTTGACGAAATGCAATAGAAAACAAGCTGTCACAAATAAAGACTCAAATTCTTTGTTCATAATTAATGGGAGATATAATATGCTATTTCTAAAGGTCTATGGTCTAGACACTGAAGCCCTAAATAGAAGGGAGACTTCAAATTAGTCCTTGAAAACATTAACTTGTAATTTCTTAAAGTAAAAGGAATTTCAGGTTTGAGCAATTTTAAAGTCAAGTCACTGACCAAATATTTACAAAAATATTTAGACTTACTATTTAAACCTTATTTAACAGCTTTTCTAAGTCATCAATACACTGTTTATGAGATTGAAAAGCTCAGATTTTTTTAAAAGTAGAAAAGAACTTCACAAACTTTACCAAAATTCTCTAAAGATATGGTACTTGTTGGAAAAATAGTTCTCGGCAACACAGAAGGGATGAGAGGAAGGACTTCTGTTTCAGTATTGCAGGGTATAAAACCAATTCTGAAAATTGGAAACAAAACAAAAAACATTTTTTGTTTAAATGGTTTAAAAAATTAAACCAGCAATTTTCAATTAGGTTTGCAATATGAAAGCACAGGGTGCTTTAATTACTTGTTAGTTAAAAATGTAAATTCAAGGTTACTCATTGTTCAAGGATGGCAATTAGCTGCAAAGAAAAAAACCTTCAAGAGCACGTTTTTTTCAGATAAATTAATGGTATAGGGAGATCCAAGTAAATATAAATATAAAATAGTTGTTTCTCTTTTAAACAATATTTTATCAAGATTTTTAGCTGTTATTCGTTTTTTGCTATTCTAAAAAAAGTCACTTGAATAATAAAATGCAAAGATTTTAAGGGTATAGTTTGATGACTTTTGATCACTATATATATCTGTGTAATCACAACCCCAATAAAAAAATATAATTTTCACTACTCCAGAAAGCGCCTCATGCCCCTGTAACCCATTCCCTTTCTAGGCAGCCTCAGAAATAATTTTGAGGAATTAATCAAATCAAGATTTTAAGGAAATTAACAGGGTCAAAGGGAAATCAGTCCATGAGTTAAAAATTTTAAATAATGGCCCAGCCAGTGTGGCTTACTGGGTGAGCATCAACCTATGAACCAGGAGGTCATGGTTTGATCACCAGTCACGGCACATGCCTGGGTTGCGGTCTTGATCCCCAGCTGGGGGCGTGGGAGGAGGCAGCTTATCAATGATTCTCTCTCATCATTGATGTTTCTCTCTCTTTACTTCTTTCCTCTCTGAAATCAACTAAAAGAAACAAAAACAAATTTAAATATTGGAAATAGAACTATTACTTGAATTCTTAAGTATTTCATAGATGATATCACAGTTTTTGCTACGTCTTCATTTTACAGCATATTTCAAGCCCCAAATATCAAAATATGTCACTTTTTTTAAAACCTGGTTTCTGTTGCTATATTTTTAAATTCCTTCATTTAAAGATGACTCTTCAATGTTCCCTATGTTCCCAAGGACCTGCTAATACCCTAAAGTTTCTGTATCCAAGCCCAATCCACTGTTAGCTTCTTTTCTGATTCATATTTACTCATCACTTCAAATCTCCTAACAAGACTATTTTATCCAATATAATTTGAGATTCTGGAGGAGGAGAGAAGCATTGAAAACAAACAACAAAAAAAATATGTATATGTATAGAAATAGATAGCAAAGGAGAGGTCTCATCTAGGCTTCCTAATTTTACTTCTATTTGCGTTGCACTGTTATTCCTGGGGCAAGCATGTCAAAGTCGGGGCCCTCGGGCTGCATGTGGCCAACAATAAATTTTTTTGCGATCCAGCTAATATACCAGTATGTAAGAAACGTTTTAGTAAAAATTTTGTAACTTAACTTTTACAATATCCTGTTATCCTATTAATAAAAGAATAATATGTAAATTAACCATCACTCCACTATACCCACTAGCCACACCCACCAGCCAATCAGGAAAAAATATGCAAATTAACACAACTAGATGGCTGTAGCCATGGAGAGAGCTTGGGTTTTCCTGGCAATGGAGGAAAACCCAAGCCAAGGCCTCCACTCAAGGCTACAAAGTTTCAATTAGAGAAGATAAATAAATCCCAGATACCAGGGCCTCCGCTTGAGTTGCCAAGGGGCATGGCCGGCCTGCAAACCACCACAGGTCCCTCGCCCAGGCTGATCCGGGAGATCCTTCAGGGCAAACCAACTGGTCCCCACCCATGCACCAGGCCTCTTTCTATTTAATAAGAGTAATATGCAAACTGACTGTCACTCCAACACACAAAATGGCTGCCCCCACGTGGATACAAGATGGCTGCTACAAGATGACCAATAGGGGAGGTTAGTTGGGAGGGACCATGACTTCAAGAGAGAGCAGTTGGGGCAATCAAGCTTACAGAGGAGGGCAGTTAGGGGTGACCAGGCCAGGAGAGGAGTAAGTTGTGGGCGATGGGGCCTGACGGGAAGGGCAGTTGGGGGGAGGGGGGACCCAGGCCTGTATGGAAGGGCAGTTAGGGTTGACCAGGCCCACAGGGAAAGGGCAGCTAGGGGCAAACAAGCTGGCAGGGGAGCAGTTAGGTATCTCTCAGGTTGGCAGGGGAGTGGTTATGGGGTAATCAGACTGGCTGGATCAGGATCTGGCCTAAATGGGCAGTCAGTCAGACATCCCTCAAGGGGTCCCAGATTGAAGAGGGTGCAGGATGGGCTGAGGAACCCCCCCTCCTGTGCATGAATTTCGTGCACTAGGCCTCTAGTTTACATAACAACAACAAACTACAATGTTCACTAATGACTGATTACTATAATCGTGTTGCATTCATTTCCCTTACGCGCCTTAAGCACAGGTGCACCATTTCTCTCCACTAATACTAGCAGCAAATATTTTAGCAGCCAAGTCATGTATTAGTCTTATACTGACTTATTTGGTGTGCACAACAGGAAATATTTTGCTTTCGGAGAACAAGAAAAATAGGTTTATCTGCATTATGTTTATTGATTTGTGCAGTTATCCATTGTATGGAAAATCAATATCAAGAAAAAAATATTAATTTTTATTAAAATGCTCTATTATTTAATGTTAATGATTACTCATTTATTTCAGCCCTTTGTATTCAGCACGTCTCTATCGAAAAATACCCTACATTTCTATGAAAATTGAAGCTTTTGTATCCTTGCAGCCCACAGAAACTTAAACCTTATTTGGCCTGTGTTAGCCTTTGAGTTTGACATGCTTGTCCTAGAGTATGAAGACCCCTATACAGAACTACATTTCAGTGATATGTAAAATAAAGTTCAAGTTATAGGCAACAAATAGCCTTGATTTTTATGTATAAGCTTGATTTAAGTAAATATCATATATTATACCTAGCAATGTGCTAGGACTTAAATTAAGAAAAGACTAGATTACTTAAAGTTATGAGTGACAAGGCAGAGTAGAAGCTTGATCAAATAGTCAATTAAAAGAACATTTTGGAGAGGAAATATCATGATAAAAACAGTGATTCAGCTAACAGCACATAGGCATGGGGAAAAGAGTAGATGAAGAAAGACAAATATGAATGCTATTATTAATAATGAATCTTATTATTTAGGCACTACCCCTTTTAAATGAATCAAATGTCCATAATTATTAAACACATTAAAAGTTCTTTAAAGGGTTCTTTAAATAGCAATCTTTTGTTAAGCATCTGAAGCACCAAAATATAATCTGCACAAAACTTTCTTAGAAATATACTCACTAAATAAGGTACATTTGTAGTTAAGTATTGATGATATCATATATTCATGTTAGCAAATAAAACACTTCAGTGAACAATTTTTTTTTACCTTCCAATTGCAGGTAATGTATCAGGAAACCATGACAATTCCAGTTCCTGTCTCTTCTGTCTAATTAATGCACTGATTTCATTGACTTCTACAAGTTCTGTACTAAAAGATAAATTTTACACCTTCATCAGAATTCTAAAAATTTTAAGTTTGGAATAACAATTGGGTTCATGATATACATGCAGTTGTTTTCATACCTAGCATTATAAATCACATTTATAAGAATAAGAACATTTTTCTATTTAAACACTTTAAAAATGAACTAATTCCTAAAAGTTAGTAAAATATTTATATTACAAACGAAAATTATGCTTATCTGATTCATAAAAATAATGCTTGAATTTCTACTTAAGTGACAGAATTTTTAAAAAGTCAATTCAGACTAATATCATTATTGAGAGAAAAACCCTTAATACTATTTCTATCTCATGAACCAAAGCTACAGCAAGCAGTTCCAGCAGAAACTATAGGCCAAATAGTTTCTACCTGAAACTAAGCAGAGGACAAAGGAAGAAAATCAAAGAAGATACAGTTACTATAACAAAATAAAACAAAAAAAGGGGTATAGTTCAGCTTTTCAAAGTGCTTTCTTTGGTGCCTTGCCAAGCTCGTAATTTCTTTGGTGCCTTGCCAAGCTCGTAAACAATCATAATCTGTTTTGTTAATTCAACCAATTCTATGTGATTTTAAAAGTCCAACTTAGTTTTCAAATTCCACATATAGTTGTCAGTCACTATGGATTCAAAGATGACGATGTACTCTGAAAGAGATATGCTTACTACTAGTCTACTTTTTTCTATCAAAAAAAAGCCTGTGTAAGCGGCCAGGCCCGGGGGAGCAGCCGGGTCGGGTGCGGCCAGGCCCGGAGCAGCGGCAGCCAGGCTGGGAGTGGCCAGGCCCGGGGGAGCAGCCGGGTCAGGTGAGGCCAGGCCCGGAGCAGCGGCTGCCAGGCTGGGAGCGCCCAGGCCCGGAGTAGCCGGGTCAGGTGCGGCCAGGCCCGGAGCAGCGGCTGCCAGGCTGGGAGCGGCCAGGCCCGAGGGAGCAGGCGGGTCGGGTGTGGCCAGGCCCGGAGCAGCGGCTGCCAGGCTGGGAGCGGCCAGGCCCGGAGCAGCAGCAGCCAAGTCCAGAGCAATTAGGTCGGGAGCGGCAGTGACCAGACCCAGAGCAGCTGGTTGTGGAACGAACCAGAGCAACAGAGGCCAGGCCCTGAGCAGCCAGGCCCGGAACAGCTCGCTCCTCGCCTGCCCCTGCCCCAAGGCTGCCTCTCAGACATGGCTGGAAACTTTCGTGGAAACTTGAGGGTCTGCTGAATCAAGTGATGAAGGCTTAGATCTGGATGTGTTGAGTTAGTATAGGGCTGGGGTGTTGATCTGTGAGTGCCTTGGGTGGGGCCTGGATGAGGCTGGTTGACCTAGTGGGAAATGTCTTTTGTGTGAAGTGTATCATTGGGCATGTGGAGGTATTATTGATATGAGAAAATGCTAAGTAACTGATTTACTATCTGAAAAGGGATTTACTATTGGGGAAAGGGAGGGAAGAAGAGACTGAACATAAACTGTGCACCTATGGATGAGGACAATGGGGGATGGGGAGGGGGCAGAGGGTGGGGTGGGGACCTGCTGGAGGGGGGAAGTAATGAGGAACCTTTGTAATAATATGAACAATAAAGATTGATTTAAAAAAAAAAAAAAAAAAAAAAGCCTGTGTAAAATAATTTATTATTAATGAAAACAAAGCCCACTAACATAGGCAAGTCATTGCATAATAGAGAATGTCACAAAATGATAGGTTTTCTCTTTGCTAAAACTAGTTTATTTTCCAAATGAAACAAAAGCAAAAATCAAGGTGGGCTTTCAAAATGTTTGTTTAGCCTAAGTTTAAATATTTTCCAAAAGTTAATTATAACTAAAACATCAAGTAGAAAAAAGCATCAATTAAAAGTAGAAAATACTAACCAGTAAGCTCTACAGGTAAAAGAAGAGTCTCCAGTGTAACTAGTAGAAGAAAATATATTGGAGAAAGAATTTCTGAAGGATGAGCTTGTGCACTGATTTGATCTTCGAAGCTATAAAAATAAAAACAGGTTAGTGAAACAGCAAACAAAAAACGTCCATAATATAAATAATAGTAAGTAATAGTTGTACTGAATATTTTTTATACCTGAGGCACTAGCGTTATGTACTAAAAACCATAAAGTTATCTAAGAAAAAGATTTTTCAACACACCTTCTGCATCTTCATTGATGCATGTTTCTTTCCTCCCATTTCACTGCATTTAGTTTTTCCTGTACAAAGACACAAAAAGTTGGTTACCTTGTCTTAATGTTTATTTTAAAAGGTTGTAAAGCCAGTACTGATACTGACATACTGACAAAAGAAAGTTAAAATACTTAGAAAAGTTGCATTTAAAATAATAGTACTGGCCCGGCTGGCATGGTTCAGTGGTTGGACATCGATCTATGAATCATGGTCAGGGCATATGCCCAGGTTGCAGGCTCAATCCCTGATGTCAGGTGTACAGAAGGCAGGTAATCAATGGTTCTCTCTCATCATTGATGTTGTGTGCACGCGCACGCTCTCTCTCTCTCTCTCTCTCTCTCTCTCTCCCCATATCTAAAATCAATAAAAATATATTTTAAAAAATAAAGTAAGCCCTAGATGGTTTTCCCAATGGACAGAGCATTAGCCCATGGAGTGATGGGTCCTGGGTTCAATTCATCAAGAGAGTGTGCCTCTGTTGCAGGCTTTATTCCTGGCCCTGGTCTAGGAGTGTTCAGGAGGCAACCAATTGATGTGTCTCTCTCACATTGATGTTTCTCTCTGTGTGTCTTTCCCACTTCCTTCCATTCTCTTCAAAAGAAAAATATCCTCCGGTGATGATTAACAAACACACATACAAAAAAAACCTTGCATTTACATAAATTTTCCAAATGTTAATTTTATCTTAACTTGTTTAGCTACAGATATATGAAAAATGTAAGAGACCACAATAAAGAAAACTGGTAAAGCATGTAATACTGCTGTCTTAGTGCATGAGTATTAAAATTCTAATGAACATTTTCTGGCGCCCTATGAAAATTTAAGCCACCCTGTAACAACAACAACAAAAAAAAAGAACAAACAAACAACAACAACAACAACAAAATATATATATATATAGACAAGTGACAGGAACAACCAGAATGACCAGAACAACTGGTCACTATGACATGCACTGCGGCTGACTAACTGGCCCAATGGGGGCAGGGTTGGCTGGCCAATCTCCCCCGGCCCCTCTTCCCAGTTGGTTCCCCCATCCCATTCAGGGGTGGAGCCAGCCAGCCAACCTTCCGTAACTCTATTTGCTGGCCGGCTTGCTCGTGCATGAATTTGTGTACTAGGCCTCTAGTATATATAAGTCAAATTACTTAACACATTGTAGACCAGTAGTTTTATTGCTAGCTTTACCCAGTGGCCAGATAAGTTTCTACTGAATGAGTACAAAAATCATTTTTACATGTTAAAGGCATGCTTTAAAATTAAATACCCATTGCATTTTTTTAAATTAAAAAAAAAAAAAAATATATATATATATATATATATATACACATTATTGATTGATTTTTTTACAGAGAGGAAGGGGGAGAGAGAGCTAGAAATGTCGATGAGAGAGAAACATCGACCAGCTGCCTCTTGAACACCCCCTATTGGGGATGTGCCCGCAACCAATGTACATGCCCCTGACCGGAATCAAACCTGGGACCTTTCAGTCTGCAGACCGATGCTCTACCACTGAGCCAAACAGGTTTCGGATACCTATTGCATTTTGAAGTTATTTATTACATGCTCTTACGAGATAATATATTTTTAAAGTATGATACTTTGTAAAACACTGTGTAATAAGAAGTGAGAATTCTTGTGATCTGTCCGCAATATTTTAATATCAATAATGCTCTTCATATATGTCCTTTTTCAGCTATGACCTAAAAAACAGGTCCTGTTAACTCACCTCAAATAAGAGCTGACTAAGAGAATTAGGTCCATCAGCCCTTGTCAACCATAAATTACCATTTAACCACTGGCACCATCTTCAAATAAGTACTCTTTCCTCCTCAAACTTTATAATTATAATTAAGAAAAACAGAAGTGAATCAAACAGCTTTCTGTTATAGAATTATTTCCAGCTACACTGCCTATGACTTATTTTTTGGCATTACCGGTCCCATCTGGGAATTTATTTCTCTAGATACACTAGAGGCCCAGTGCACAAAATTTGTGCAAAGGGGTAAGGAGGGCCCCTCAGACCGGCCTGCACCCTTTAGCAATCCAGGAACTCTTGGGGGATATCCGACTGCCAGTTTAGGCCCGATCCCACAGGGCTCCCTGCAGGATCGAGCCTAAACTGGCAGTCGGACACCCTTCTCACAATCCGGGAATGCTGGCTCCTAACTGCTCACCTGCCTGCCTGGTTGATCGGCCCTAATCACTCTGCCTGCCGGATCGCCCCTAACTGTCTCTGTACCTGCCTGATCGCCTCTAACCACTTCTGCCTGCCTGCCTGATTGCCCCTATAAGTGCCTCTGCCTTGACCCCTGCCACCACAGCTTCATCTGCCAGGATGTCCAGAATGACGTTTGGAAGGTTGTTCGGCTGTCCGGTCTAATTAGCATATTACGCTTTTATTATTATAGATACTTCCAGATTAAGAAAGATAAAGGATAGCTTCTGCTAATGACCAAAACTGTTAGTACTTTTATAGACCACTGCTCTTAGTTTTTCTTTACCATTTTATCTACTATTAGACATCTATACCTATCAATAGACTTGTGTGCAATAAACTGTTGCTAGTATTGTCATTGCTTTCTCCTCAAAACTCTGGAAAAAGTCTACAACGTAAATGACAACTGGTCTTTCACTCTTCGATCTTTCTTGCCTCACAAAGGGCTTAATGACTTTGTTCAAAATAAATCACCCAAACTAGGAGCCTTGTTTCCTGCTATTAGACAATACTAGTATGTACTTGGAGTTTCTTCTGTCAGCCCAGTGATTACAGCCTACTTCCTACTTAATAGCATACTAATTTCCTTTTAAATTATTATACAACAGCTGTTTGGTTTCATGCTATTACCCATTCACCACACATGACCCACCCAGAACTGTTGTAACAAATATAATTTCAACATTGGAGACAGCAGTACTGGCTGAATTATAGGAACTTATTTTCCTATCCTTTGATGTATATTTAAAAGATGATACAGATGTTTTAAATTGCTTAAAGAAGCCAGAATTAAAATGTGTGATAGGTACCAGCCACTTTCTTAGAAATAACTTTCCTTAGAGAGAATTGCAATATTGTACCCACAGAGTGTCTTTTATGTCCTAAGGGTGCTAAATTGTTTTCATTCTCTCAATACTTATTGCATATGTACTGTTTACATAGCATTTCTTCATTTGGAAGCCTATCTTAAGAAGCCAGCATTAGACTAAAAGCTCTCTATGAGAAGAACGTTAGTTTTCTGGCCAATGAAAAGTGTGAAAATCTAGTCCGAAGATATTTCACATATTTCTGTGTAATTCTGAGCAGTGATAACTGAGCAGCTCTAATAAAAATCAAAAGTGTGGATTTATCTAAATTGTGATTTCCTGGAGATCATTTCACAAATCTGCCCTACTCATTTACATGCCTTTGGACAGCAGTTTTATGTATTTTCATTTAATACTTATCAAAGTAATGCACAAAGTAAAGAAGTTAAAAAGTTGCCTAGCCAACGTGGCTCAGTGGTTGGCCCTGACCTTGAACCAGCAGGTCATGGTTCGATTCTCGGTCAGGGCATATGCCTAGGTTGTAGGCTCGACCTCCCAGGTGAGGCATGAGGGAGGCAGCCTAACAATGATTGTCTCTCATCACCGATGTTTCTATTTCTCCCTCCTCCTTTCCTCTCTGAAATCAATAAAAATAAAAATAAAAAATAAAAGAAGTCAAAAAGCACTTCTAGTCTTGCCATTGTGGGTCAGTGGCTGAGGGTCAATCCATGAACCAGGATCATGTTTCGATTCCAGATCAGGACACATGCCCAGGTTGCAGGCTCGATCCCCAGTAGAGGGTAAGCAGGAGGCAGCCAATCAATGATTTTCTCTCATTCTTGATATTTTTCTCTCTCCCTCTCACTTTCCCTCTGAAATCAATAAGAACACACACACACACACACACACACACACACACACACACACACACAAGCACTTCTAGGCTTATAAAGAAAAACTACAGAAATCCCAAGTCTTTATTTTGTTTCCAAAACACTCATCAAATCCTTTTGCTGTTTCATCTAATATTTATCTCTTTATTTCTAAACTAGAGGCCATTGCACGAAGAGATTTGTTCAACAGGCCTCCCTTTCCTTGACTTCCAGCACAGGTTTTCCTCCAGCACCTGGGCCTTCGCTCCAGCCAGAGTCTGCTAGTCTTCGTCTTTGCTGCAGACTCCAGAGTAGATCCCTTCGCCCTACCCCCAACCTCCCTCTCCACTCCTGTAAACCCATATCTACACACCCTCCCCCCCCCCCGCTTCCCTCTCATAGCATCTTTGGCCTTCTAATTTGCATACTCACTCTGATTGGCTGTGGGCATAGTGGAGGTATGGTCAATTTACATGTTTGTCTATTATTAGGTAAGATAACATGCTTATACTATTCTACCTAGGTGTTTTTTTGGTTTCAGATATTTTCTAATTTTTTTAAAGTTTACTTACAACCACCATTTTCAACCTTTTTCATTTTATGGCACGCATAAACTAATCACCAAAATTCTGTGGCACTCTAAAAAATACTATATTTGTTGCCAACCTGACAAAAAACAATAACAGGTATAATTCTGATTCATTCACACTTGGCAACTGTTGTTCTGTTGGCTGTTGTCACTTTTTTATTTAACAATCTAAGAGAAAAGAGGTCAGTGTTCCTGACTAGTCAGGTATTACATGCTTTAAAAATTCTTGCAGCACGCCAGTTGAAAATTGCTGCTATAGAAGATAAAGACTTGTCTCTTATACCACTGACCTATCTCCTTTTCTGCCTTCATCCTAATGTTCTTTTTGATATATCAACATTTGATATAAGCAATATTACATTATAACTATATAAACATTATTCACAGTTGAACCATATGCTAAATTATTATTGTTCTTGTACAACTTACTTTTCCTAGGGTTAACAACTACTTTGTTTTCTCTTTTCCTTGTATTCTTATATTATCTATCATTAATTTTCCTAACTCTACAACAAAAAAATAAATCTCTTAATACACTAAA